TTAGTACCGTATAGATCCAATTTTAAATTACAGAAAAAATTTATTCGCTTAGCCACTTTTTCAAATCCCCATGCAAGTAGCTCACAACTCTTTAAAAGATTGGGCATTCTTGATGTGCATAAATTATGCAAGTTCCAAACGTGCATGTTTATTTATGACCTGAAGGGCGATCGTTATGCTCGTTCTCTGGGTCATTATGCCTCTTCAATCTCTCACTCTTATTTGACACGTTCAGTTATTTCTGACAAACTTGAAATTCCAAAAGTAAAACTAAGCTCAACTAAAAACAGTTTAACATATTCATTAGTAAAACACTGGAATGATCTTCCAATTTCCATTAAAACATTAACATCAAGAAATCGCTTCAAACTTACCCTAAAACAATTTCTTTTAAATAATTGAACATCAATGTTATTGTTATTTCTCTATCATTCAATTTACAGTATTGTCATTTCACTATTACCACCATATTTCATATAATTTTTCTCCTTATGTATTATGTACTCTTAAACAATATATTAATATGATTTATGATTTCACTGTCCTTATCAGTTTTTTCTGCTATTAGTGAATATGCAAGGGCTAGAGACTAGATTAGTTCTACTAGAACTACCTCTCTTGTCCTCGCCAGATAGTTATGTATATCTCTATCTTCGTTTTGTACTTTGTAATGTAATTTATCTGGTGAAATAAAATTGTATTGTATTGTATTGTATTGTAGATTGGACTGCAACTTGGTAATATCTCTCTCTAGCTTCAACAAACGTTTATTTCTCATTATTTTTCAATTCGATTTCTTTATTAGAATGCAGCTTGGTAATATCTCCCACTAGCTTCAACGAACGTATATTTCTCATTATTTTTCAATTCGATTTCTTTATTAGAATGCAGCTTGGTAATATCTCCCACTAGCTTCAACGAACGTATATTTCTCATTATTTTTCAATTAGATTTCTTTCAGGCTTTTACAATTATCCATCAAGTCAATGTCATGTCAACATTATAAAGCTTACGTGCGTAAAATACTAAATTCAATTTACCATTTTAAAACTACAAGTAATATTTTTTCTTCATACAACTAAAACTGCAACAAAGAAATATATATGCTACGTCTATATAATGTGTACTGCGACTATTGGCATATTCAATTAATAATATTTGTTTGTGTAAAGCTCTTGATAGGTGGGCTCCTCGTTAGTTACACCTACCGCGACATAATTGTCATTATCCATGTTTGGTTAGGTCTCCTGTAATGCAACCTCGTCGTTATGTATAACAGTACCACTGATTTGTCGTGACGGTTGTGATAAGTTCTTATTCAAGTACAATTTCCTTCTGATGTCTATCAGTAACACAGCGATTACAACAACTGCTAATGCAAATATGGAACAGACAATAACAACGACAATGATAAACACTGTATATTCAGTACTCTCGTTTCCAGTGCTTGCATCAGTTGGCATGGACTCTATAATGGTTTCTGCAACACAATTCAATATTATATAAACATTAATAGATTAGCCAATACGATGATATATATAGGTATAAGGCAAACGGAATGAACTGGCGCAAATAGTGTAAATATGGTGTGTATGCAGAAAATCTAAATGCCATTCATCTGCAACATGTTGGATATTAATGAATACTCATCAATTAAAGCCTATACAGACACAAGTTTGATTTATAAAAACTATAGACAGTTTGTCACTTTGGTATGTAACTTACTTTGAAGCTCAAACGCAGGTGATATTGATGTTGATAGATTTTATTGTTGTGTATCCGCTACCAGGTATATAATGGTCATTAACGTAGTTTGTAAATACGTTATACATTATATGCTACATATGATGATGAATGCATCATATGAATGCTATACATTTTCTGAATAATATATTTATCTCACAGCTTCTAGTGACACTATTATCAACCAATCATATGCTACATGGACATTTGGTGTCATATGTGTGTATGATATGGACAGCGTATTTACTGTTGTTATTGAAATAATCTGTTTTATCCTTTCTTTATAAAATACCACCATCAGAGTATAATGGAATAGTGTGAACTTCTCTTTCATTTAGCTACGCAAATCACGTTATATACACCATACAATGATATGGTATCAACATTCAGAGTATGAATAGTACAAAATACGCAATAAATATTTTCGTCAACCAACTTACATGATCATTTGGTTTAAAGTTCACCATGTTAAAATATAAAAAAAACGATAAGTTGATACCGCGTTATTGCATAATTTTATAATGCGTCTATAATAGAAGATAATCCTTACCACTTTCTGCTGCTTCGTAACATTTACAGATCTACAGAACATAAATGGTAAAAGAATTACTCACAGTTTATTATGGCCATGTACATTTTACTGATTTAATCCACCAGAATCATATTAACAGTGCCTATCCATTTAGACTTGTTATCATTTAGCAATCAACAAGTGTACGGAGAAAGTATTTGGGATATGAATGCTAATCTAAATATATACCTAATTTATTCCCTGAATACGATAACAATAAATGTTATGACTTACCAGCACAGATATTATACATAGTGCTGTAGTGGAATGTGAAGGATAACCTCTATCTCTTGCCATGACTGTTAGTGTATACTCATCAGTTGATGTTTTAGAGTCAAGCGTATCTTTCAAGCCAATAACACCAGTGGATCTATTCACTATGAAACTATCAGTGGGCGGTACTACGTCTGTAATACTGTATACTATCTCAGCGTTTACACCACTATCCATATCAGTTGCCTACAAATATAACAATCCGAATAAAATTATAAATTATTTATATATTAGACTTAATCTAGATAATGTTGTAGGTTGTGTATTGCAAGCTGCTGATCGCATAATCTCAACTGTTATATTACAAAAGGTGTGAAAAACATACCATTTCATACAACAGTAAAGCTGCAAGCGGCGTCAGCGGGGTGCACGTAGGAGCAGAAAATGTTTTTTGTGGACGGTATGCTAAGGTCACGTGATATGCTGTTATCTAAAGCATCATTGTATGCATTTATTTTTTGCCGGGTAAAATGTTGACCGAATTACGTGACTGGTTCACATATTTTTTTGAAGAAACTTGAGTGGTTAATTCTCCATACGAAATTTTATCATGATTGCAAAATGAATTCATGAGAAACAATTATCCAATTATGGCATTTTTTGTCAGAAATCTAAGATTGCGGCCAAATCATGCAATCGATTAAAAGAAAACTTCAATTCAAATTATTTCCAATCTTACATTAAGTTACATTCAGTAATATCAAGTTACACATGTCCAAACAATTACATTGAAAGATCGGGTTTCTATTGCACAAACTAAAGAGTGTGGATAATCAAAAGGAAAATAAATATCTCAGTAGCTTAGTTTTCCCCAGAGGAAAAAGTTGAAAATAACAAAATACAAAAAAAGAAGATGAATAAATGAACACAATTTGCATTGTAATTAGATACACAAAAAGACTGTGTAAGCCCAGTTCAATGTATATACACTTTGTTTCATCTTGATTGATTCACTAAATTGGGTCAGAACATAGATTTTGGTATCGATTTGTTGAGTTTCAGTATAGACTTGATGTGTTGGTCATACAGGCTACATGCCAATTACATAGTTGATCCGAGAAAAGAATTCTTAAAATTGTTTCCATTTTTTTGTTTCTGTATGCTATATGGCAAATGTTAATAACATTATATAAAACATTCGAAACAAAAGTGTTGCCCATTGTTCCGAAAATCTAAGAAATCTGACTGATTTAAATTATTTTGTGATGAAGTTCGGTATAGAGATCTGATAACTGTGTCATCAGTAAAAAACTACTTTCTGTTAAGATGAAATCCAAAAGGGTGGTGATCAGGGGACTAACCAAAAACTAAATTTCAAACTTTATGTGCGTTATCAGATGGATATTTTCAAGCGTTTGTTCGGTATTCAGAAAAAAAATTCACATGATTGCCTGAGTAGCAAATTCTTGCACATGCGGTATAGTATTTGTCACAAAACATATAAATTGCCCAAGTCATCAGAAAATATCTAAAGACAGGTGCACCATTGATATGGTGTGATGTATTATGCGGCCTTATTTTCAAGCAAATCAAGTGACTCATCATGTACACCCGGCATCACGAGTGAAACTACTTTCATACTCCTGAGCGAAGCCATTGTGGTTCTGTTATTATTCAAATATTATGTCGCCAAATTTTACAAAAAAGACAGTCATAACCATATCTTCCAGAATATTAGTATTAGTTCACCCCAAATTAGTGATCTATTTTTAAGATAATTGTGCAACCACGATATTTGTCAATGTATTGGATTAATTAGAATGATTGTCGTTGGCACTGCTTTGAGGCTTTGAACATATCAGAGAATGTTACGGCCAAATAACGTACAAATTTGCCATTGTACAGTATGTCGCCCTCTGTAGTTGAGATTTGGTAAGGTGGCTTGCTGGTGTTGGCAGGACTCCAGAAGACGTACCTACACTTTATGCATTTTTTTTAAATTACGCTAATTTATTCATGACGTAGCAGTTTCTGTGCTCATGAATATTCATTAATTTGTGGGTCAATACATTCCAAAAGGGGCGATATATTATTTTGAGTTAGAAAGGGGGATTAGCAATCCTTAGGCAGTCAATACAAAAGAAGGGACCCATTTAGAGATCAGCATTGCCCCTCGTGTCTGTTGTTGCACGTGACCTGCAGTTGTCAACTGTGTTCGTACTTCGACGACTTCCATGTGAGGTAGTGTTCTTGTGTTCTGTTTTTCTGACTTGAGTTCTTGATACTAATATACAGAAGTTGCTGTTTATGTTAACGTCTTTCATATCTTGTCTTGTAGGAGTGTCCTGTCTTTGAGTTCCCAGCGTACTGTCTTGTCTACTGTGTCTTCACACAAGTGATACGATTTAAGTCCTACTGAGGATCAATGTTTTCACTAGCATTCAAAACTCTTACTAACCGTACTGGATTCGAACCAGCGATCTCTCACATTGCCTTCATTGTACAAATCCACTGAACCAATATGGGTAGTCATGCAAATGAATAATTTGTTTTCATTTTTAGCTTTATTGCCAATTAGTGTTTGCGAGAAAAGACTAGCAGGCATGGGAATTGAACTCCTGATTACTGTGTAGACAACTGATCCATAAGACCACAATGGATTGACTGGATGTGTTTGCATTTAATAAGACTATATAGTGTATATATATATAGAAATACAACATATTTCTATTATTGAGTTACAAAAAATGCCAATGTTGTGTTTTTACTTGTGTAAACTAATATGCATGCCATAACCCGTTAGTGTACATCTTGCCGATTGGGTGTTTGCCATTTGCGTTGCCCATACCTGACCCGACCCTAAACCTAATGCCAAAACACGCTCCTGTTAATAATTTCTCAATAATGATACTCTTTTATGCACTGTCTGTGGGTAAGTTGCATTGATGTCAACTGATTAAACAAGTCGCGTTTAAGTAATTTCCACTATTAACAAGTGGTTAAATTGTGACAATAAATGTGTGGACAAATATTTGAGATTTATGGGCAACGCAAATGGCAAACACCCAATTGGCAAGATGTACACTAACGGGTTATGGCATGCATATAGTTTACACAAGTAAAAACACAAAATTGGCATTTTTTGGACAATTGTAACTCAATAATATAAATATGTTGTATTTCTATATATAACCACATCCAGTCAATCCATTGTGGTCTTGTGGTTCAGTTGTCTACACAGTCATCAGGAGGACCTGCGTTCAATTCCCATGCCTGCCAGTCTTTTCTCGCAAACACTAATTGGCAATAAAGCTAAAAATGAAAACAAATTATTCATTTGCATGAAGGCAATGTGAGAGATCGCTGGTTCGAATCCAGTACGAGTTTTGAATGCTAGTGAAAACATTGCTCCTCAGTAGGACTTAAATCGTATCACTTGTGTGAAGACACAGTGGACAAGACAGTACGCTGGGAACTCAAAGACAGGACACTCCTACAAGACAAGATATGAAAGACGTTAAAAACATAAACAGCAACTTCTGTATATTAGTATCAAGAACTCAAGTCAGAAAAACAGAACACTACCTCACATGGAAGTCGTCGAAGTACGAACACAGTTGACAACTGCAGGTCACGTGCAACAACAGACACAAGGAGCAATGCTGCTCTCTAAATGGGTCGCTTCTTTTGTATTGCCCCCCTAAGGATTGCTAATCCCCCTTTCTAACTCTTCCCCCCCAAAATAAAATATCGCCCCTTTTAGAATGTATTGACCCACAAATTAATGAATATTCATGAGCACATAAAAAAAAATTGCATAAAGTGTAGGTACGTCTTCTGGAGTCCTGCCATTGTAATTTGTATATACCAATTCGTATATACCGAGGAAACGACCGAGATTGAAGGTTATGTATTTTGTGACGTCACCAATTCGTGTGTAGGTACGGCTTCTAGAGCCGTGCCAGCAAAACATATCATTTCTTTATTATGAATTGCTGACTGTTTGCGATATTTGTTTGAGGTCATTGCTTCGTATACATGTGACTCGTGTTTACCGATCTCGCTAGTGTTTACGCTTTACGATCTACTGCGTGTAATTCCATGTATGATATTTGTACCCTTTGTGAGGTAGTCGCTAACTGTGATGATAGTAATATGTAAATGTATAATATGCATATCGATCAATTACGTGAAATGTATTGTTTACTTATGTACTTTATTTCTCTGTATACGTTTCAGCCAATCGATTCTCAGTGGTGGAAAGGAAAAAAGTGTCAAGTTTTTGTTCGGACATTTGTTTCTTAAGTTTGTGGAGAGCGCATTGACAACTCCCAATAATCCAACAAGGGACCGAGCATTAGCTTTTAGTAATTGTTTGCGTCCTGCAGAGACATTTGGAAAAGAAAGGAAACAAAGAAAAATAATACTTGCACTGATTTGTAAAATCGATGTTCCTGCAGGTGACTTCTTATGCACATTACCCCAGTATTCGTCTTGAGTAAAAATAGGAGAATTGTCATTCATATCCATGACATGAATCGTTACATCTGCTGTACTGCTCAGACCTTCTTCTGATAAATCGTAAGCTAATACCTAAAGTTAAAAATTGAAATGTTAATAAAAGGGAGGTCACTTGTTTCTGCTTACCATATAATTATAATATATTGTATAATGTGGTTTACTGTGTGCAAAATAGAATATCTCGTGCATGTAGTAAGTTGATTTCATATATCCGTTAGCCATGGCTTCAACAGCCCCCTTTTCACATATACACATGCAAACATGGTTATTGAATTAAGCATTGTACATATCTAGTGCAACCATATCCTATCATTATTACATATACTCACCTGAAAATTAAACAGTTGTACACTTTCAAAATCTAAATAATCAGGATTTCTCACTTTGATAACAGCATGGGTTGAAAATAAAGCTTTGTCTGGACTCACGTAAAATGCTTCACTTGCCACAGCATTGTTAATAATTTTGAGTTCGAAAGACGCCATTTCTACAGTCTATGTAATAAGAAACAAGATTTAAATGTATATGTAAAAAAAATCACAATTGATCATTGTGCTAATATTAATATCTTGAAATCAAACTTGATATTATATAATCATTATATAATTAGCTCCCACAATTATTATTAGCTGGGATATAAAATTCCAGCTTATGTAACAGTGATCGTCAGTTGTGGCGTGGATCTGAAGGTCATGTTAGGGTCATGGTAGTTTCACCCTGTTTTGGGACTTAATTGTACTTTGTGTTATTTATAGATTTTCAGGAAACATATTGTAATTTTTGTAAAAAAAATGACGCTAAAATAAAGCAAGTAAAACAATGGGAGATACGCTAGTGAGGTATTCAAGAGGGGATTAATTTTTTGACTATTGTTATGCTAATAACGACCCAATAACTCACTATCCATATATGTACAATTTTATAACTATATACGGATTTAGGACAGGCTCTTCTATCGTTTAACATTATACCCACTCACGATGAATCAAACGCCGAGAGAAACATGCGTACACAGGGTTTGTGCTTGTTATGTGTAATAGCCAATATACTCAAGGCTAAGTTGTTAACGCTCAAGACAAGACTGCACAATCTTTTGGCGAGGTCTGTCGTTGAGAAAATGATCAATTTTTTGTTGCCGTGAAAGCTTTTGGAAATTTCCTGGGAAGTGTAAAGAACATGGTAATAAAAGATTATGGGAAAGGGGCAAGAAAAAAATACGTATTGAACTCTAACTACATTGCAGTGTTCTCCCCAGGCCTTTTAAGAGTATCTGGTCCGATACTGTTCTTTTTGAATATAGATGGAAAACCGATGACTTTTTCAGTAGCGTTCCCGACATTGCAAGATATATATAATAATCAGTGATTCATTACTATTGGGTTAAAACATTATTTACGATCATTCAAAATTAAAGCGCGGTAGTCGTCGCGCTGCGCATGTTCGACATTTGTGTTGATAAACATTGATTTTCCCACAATCCAATGCGCTCTTCAAATGGAAATCACAAGTATGAGGTTTGACGTGGGCGAGACTTGCACTGATTACTGCCGGTGACTCCTTCGATACCTTCCAATCACAATACAATTACCTAATTAAAGCTTCGATACGTGTCAGTTCGTACTCGTTGATCTGCGCAACAGTCAAAGTCGCCATCTTTGTTTATATGAGACCGATATATCTCGCACATGCGCAGCGCGACGACTACCGCGCTTTAATATAGTAGTCATCGCTATTCGTTCGACCCAGTACTGACCTTCACAGCTGTTGCGATGCCACAAGCAGAGAAACGGAATGCTGAATTGCCCGCGTTTAGCGGTTTCAATTCAAAGTAGCTAATCCATTGATTAGGCATTCACTCGACAGCAGCAGCAAGGAAGTTTGTCAGTTTTATTCAAGATATAAATGTTCTATTTTACGCATTATGGCTACGTGACAGAAAGTCCTTCCATGTGATCTAATATTTGTAAACAATTTGCACAAGACTCCCAGTGTCTTCTCTTAGAGCAGACAGTAATGTTTCACATTCGTTTTTGCACGGGTTTAATCTTTCCCAAATGAAACGGAGCAGTTGATTTCTATTTTATTCAATGTTTATTTTCGTTTGATATTTTTAAACAAAATATGCAGTCATTAAATAATTAGTAAGCGAGCTTTTTTATTTTTTCCGAACGAGGACAAGGAAGGCAAAATGGCGGTAGTTTCACGACGGGTCGATCGTGATCATGGGTTTGTATCAAAAGCACGACTCACAAATGAGGTATTTTTTCGAACGATAATTTAATAGGAACCAAACAAATTTCAATCGTTGGCGTGTGTAAGGGCTGTACAACTTACTATCATTGGCTCCAAGTCCGGACCGGACATTAAACCGCGATGTTTTTATTTACTTTTTCTGGATATTGTGTAGACAACTTTGCAGTTGTACGAATAAATCAATTTCTCTATTTTGATGTTTTGAGTATATTCATTGTGTGTTTTATTTGCAAGGAAACAATCTGTTTTATTGTTATTTTACATGTTCACGTAGATTTAATTATTTGTTAGCTAAAATAACGAAATAAAAACACAGTGAATAATTAAAGCATTATTCAAGGACGCAATCATTTGGACGTATGGACACATAATGTTCTTAATTAAATAAACTATCGACTGCTATTGATTTAATGAATTTGTTTGTAAACATGAATTTATAATTTTATTTTGTTTATTTATAATTATGGTAATAACCATGATTTAATAGTAAAAAGTAACCTGAAACTTCATTACAGTTTATTACATATTACATAAATGTGATGTATATGTGAATTCATACCCTAGTCTCTGGTTAGTATAACAATAGATATGATAATTACAACCTAAATTTGCATATTCTTTATTATGCTAATTCCAATGTTATGTAAATTATCCGAACTGTTAAAAATAATCTTGGGGAGAACACTTAACATTCTGATTATAACTGAAAACTCCACCATTTTGTTTGCTTGATAATACTAGTATTCACACTCTGTCTATTCTATGAAGATTTAACACTATTTATACCTTTAGCAGTGATATATTAGATTTGTGTTTGGATACGTTTGTTATTTTCATACATTGGTGATTCATTGTTATTTGTCATCGGTCAAGGTAGTTAAATATCGCCATCATGCTATTGTTCAATGACATTCATACTGTGAACATTCTGATATTTATAAACTTCGAAATGGACAGACCAAATTGTCTATATCCGAACATAACCTAGGTGATAAGCAGGTGCTAAGTTCTATTCAAATAATACCAGGTCATTTTGAAGGATTCGTGTCGTGTAGTTCATGTATACAGTAGACGTCGCAATCCCCCATCCCGTGACTGCTGGGCCTAGCTGAAGATTCGCAGCCCTCTCTTGTGACTGCCAATTGATTATTACTTTCTAAAGTTTCTTTGTACTTTTTTTCTGTTTGCTTTCTGTTGACAGGGTCGGCTGGCCGGATATCGACATGTAAAATAAGCATGGCCAGCACTTGCATGCTTGTAGCCTAGACTGTGCCATGTGTACATTGACCCCGATTGCTACCGATGTTTGAATGCAGTGACACATCATCGAAGGGCTAACTTGAAAAACATAAATGTTTCCCATTTCACCGTGAATGTTTGTTGGTGAACCACAATGACGTTGACCTAAATTTGATAATCAAACTGTAGAACAGCCCCCTGCCCTGAACATGTGAAAATGATATACCAGTAACATTTAACCTTGAATTGACGTTCTCCCTCAAAATGTGGACAACACACCCTTCACTTCACCGTGAATGTTTGTTGATGAATAACATGCATCTTTATTAGTCGTAATCAAATTGTAATTTATGTTTGAAACTTTTTTCATCCAAATTGCGAACAGTAAACATGGCCAAGACATCATGCATGTGACCGAATTTGGTCCGAATTTCACATCGTGACTTGTGTAACGAAAACAGTAATGCTTGGTGAAGCAAATATTAGACTTTAATTATCGCATGTTTTGTTTACTAAATTTTGTTTTATTTTTCTAATGTACATTAAATATCTAATTAATGCAATAATTAGCCATTTTGGAGTCTCAAAAATAATTATATATTGTTAATGTTTTGTACTAATTTTTATATTTATGCAAAAGTTTGTGGCTATGACGGTTAGATTTAAAGGGGAGCCTTCACAGCCCAGGGATTGCACCAAAGAATCATGGGGCACGATTTTTTATGTTATATACGATCTATCTTTTATTATCTATTGTAATTTTAATCCAGAAAGTAAATTTGTCGTGAGATTAGGCTTAACTGGAAGAGACCCTTTAATAATAACATTTTATTTGAGAGACCGATTTTGACTTAAACAAAGATTGGTTACAATAACGAATGATTGATATGACGTCGTGGAAATTATTGCAACAAAATACTTTTGCACACAGGCGTTAATTGATTTTGAACACGCTATCCGGACTCGCTCATTTGATTGTCTGAATCACTGTGAATAATGCTGACATTATAGAAAAAATAAGGAGTTGAACAATAGAAAACAAAAAGTGAAGGCAAAAAGGCAATTACTTTGTTCTAAAATGTGTATTACTCTCTCACCAAGTATTACATTTTTAAAACAACGGCAGATGCGTTCTGGACATTTCGACCTTTGCAGCTGTGTAAAAATGTTATGAATCAATCAACAATTAGGAGAGTTACAAGTAACCGAATGTTTTAGTGTTTACCTCAAATAGTTGTGTTATTTTTGTCGTGTTTGACTCCATAGTACGCGATCTACGCGTTGTTCTGTTTCAATGGTCTATTGTGTGTCAGTATTGTTGCTATCGAGTTCCACTGATTTAGTTTGACTTCCGTCATAGTTTTGTATGAAAATAGCCCAGTATATTTCTATTTATTCTTAATTCCAGGAAATGGAAAACACGAGATCTCTCAGGGGTTGCCGATCGAGGACTGCCAAGATCGTCAGAGAAATTGTCATTATCTTCGTCAATGTCCTCGTCAAAATGTTCTCCTAAAATAGCTTCCCAGTCGTAATTATCGTCCTCAGATTCGCCAAATTTGTCCGTAAATGTCATTTTCGAAGTTCACTTCAGTTCACTGACAACAGCTGTCGTCTGTGTCACTTCCTGTGTTTATGTCTCGCGATGCATCGCGATAGTTGGTTGTAATATGAATAGATCTCGCGTTATTTTGTGAAATCTAATGATAATCTTGTTGCTCCGCAACGTTTACTCGGTACGATAAGAACTGATAACCTAAACAAATCTGACACGCATTACTTCAAAAGAAAACCCCGCGCTGCCAGTCTGTTGTATTACTAATCTGAGGTTAAATACCGGAATTATACCGTATTATCCGAATGGATGGTCACAATCGTTGTTTTATCGTTATTTTATTTACTTTGATCAACTGTTCGACCTTCTCTCGCAGACTTAGTGGCTAGTTCGTCGTAGTTGTGCTGGTTGACCGGAAAGATCACTGTAACATTTGACCTATGTAAT